TTTCTTTGTATTTGGAGAAAATTTATTAATTAATTTTCTCTTGGATTTTTTAGAATATTCCTTATCCTTATTTTTTCCTTTGGCTTTATATTTGTCCTTTTTGTATTTTTTCTTTTTCTTTTTTATATAATCAGGCATATTTTTTCTATCTAAGTAATAGCCAAATTGCTCACAGAAATCTCCAAGTTCTTTTTTCTTGGTGAGCTTTTGTTTATCTATCTGTCGTTTTAATTTCATATCAGTGCATAAGGCTAAGCCTTCAGCACATATTTCTGCAGAGAGTTCTCCAAGTGTATATGATGAATATACTATTACTCCATTATGTTTCTTTCGCAGTCTTTCCTTGACTTTTTCTGCGAATAGATATGGAAGGCCAGCTATAAATGTGATTTTCTATCCTAATCTTGCATTGGATTCTAAACCATTATATGATAGACTCAAGAAGAATCCTCCTCTTTGGTCTGACATTCATACTCGAGCAATACAGGTAATAAAGAGTAAGGTGAAAACCCTTGAATGCCTCTCTCTTCCACATCCTACTGCTTTTAAAATTATTGAATGTGATGCCTCTGATAAAGGGTTTGGCGGTATATTAAAACAACAAATTGATTCCAAAGAACAATTATTACGTTATACATCTAAGGCTTGGAATTCCACGCAATTAAATTACTCAATGGTTAAAAAGGAATTATTAGCCATAGTCCATTGTGTTACCAAATTTCAAAGTGATGTTTTAAACCAACATTTTCTTATACGAACTGATTGTAACGCCGCCAAAGATATTCTACAAAAAGATGTCCGCAATTTGGTTTCTAAACAAATATTTGCCCGCTGGCAGGCTATTCTCTTTGCCTTTGATTTCTCCATTGAACATCTTCCCGGGTCTTCTAACTCTTTACCCGATTTTCTGACCCATGAATTTTTGCAGGGGGGCAACACTGACGCCAACGACGAATCACCACTTTCACTTGCACTTCAATTATTCCAAGAAAATCAATCTGATAAGGATTTTTCATCCTTAAATATGGGCTCCCGAGGCAATACTCGCCGGGGAAAACAACCCATGAATTCTTTAGTTCCATATGAAGGGGAACCTTCACCCTTGAATATTCGCTCACCATCTCAATCCCCAATCCATCAAATCACTTACCCAGAAGCACGAACTTCAACTCCTACATTCTCACCACTCAGTCCAAATCCATTCCTCCTACCAATATTCCACGATCCGAATACATTGAAAAAGCCTTTTTAATGGACATTACCATTGATGAACATCAAGTTCACATGGATCCAAGCAAGCTTGCACCATTATACCTACTTAATCATCTTAATCCTATCAATGGGGTTAAGACTAGAGAGTATTATGAAGCCATCCTAATGGAAACAGGGTCCATCTCTGTTGTCCACTACTTTCAACAGAATACCCGAATAATAGCCTATTCAAAAGTCCAGATAAAGAAACTTCTTTCATATACTGAGTGGGGTTCCAATCCCTCACAAGGAAAGAAATTGTAAAATCCATAGTTTTCTTATAAGTATTTTAAATATGCTGAGTATATAGAAGCTTGGCACAAATTTTTCTATTATCAAAACCCTAATAATACTCATAGCTGGTATTTACAGTTCCGGCTACCTATTTTTGAAAGGTTCCCCACTTGGTTTCAAAACTGGTATTTTGTGTGGGGATCAACTGCTATGATTTTACCTCCTACTTTTAAGGAGTTGCAAGAACAATTTATACAATACAATAATATTGATAATTCAGTTGACACTCACCTTTACTTTATGGCCTTGTATCAAATCCCTTGGATTATGAAATGGGATTATACCATATCACCCAATACCACAAATGATTATACATATATCCCTCGTCTGGGAAAAACCATATCTGTTAAATGGTGGGATATCTTCTAAATGGATCTCACCAAAGCCACTCCAAAAAGAATACCACCCAAAGCACTTAAATACCAGGAAAACCCAAATACTCCAAACACCTCTTTTGATTTTCCAACCTACCTTCGAAATATGCTTCAAACCAACCCAAATGCCTCCAAAGAAGAATTGGAGAAACAAATGAAAGAAATTTTTGCTGAAGCCGGAAGAAAACCCACATCTTCCGAAGAAACAGTCCAATCGTCTCCACTCCACACAAATAGGTACCTCCAACTCAGTCAAAAGGATCCAGAAGAGACAGATCCAGAAGAGACAGATCCGGAAGAGGATGATCTAGAAGAATTCAGTCAGCGACCATAACTTCATCATCCATGACATCACCCATCCAGAGAAGCAATAAATGACAAAATATCAAGAGACCATATGGGACAAACAAGGGTCCCATTGCCGACAGCAAACACTGTACTCCAATTGTAATAAGGCCAAAAGCGCCACTGTGCATAGATGCTTTTTACTTTTAATTTTTGTTTTTTTGTTCAAAGAGCATCTCCTTATGTTCTCGCTCTTATCTTCTAGAACCTCCATTATTTCTTTTTTGTCTTCTTACCTGTCCACCACTCTCTCTCTTTTGTCACCTTCTGCCGACAACGAATCTCTCTCTTTTGTCGCCTTTTGCCGACCTCTTTTGTCGCCTTCTACCGACGATATCCTGCCAACCTGTCCATCTTATCGCCCCAAGAGATTCCTTTCGAGTCTCCACTATAAAAGGGAAGTTCCTCCTCTTCTTCGAGACAGGGCCTCACTCCTCCCATATCTTCTTCTGAGCCTCTTCAGACCTCTGCAACCTTTCAGACCTCTGCAACCTTTCAGACCTCTGCAACCTTTCAAACCTCTGCAACCTTTCAGA